CCCCCCCCCCCGCCAAAAAAAGAAACCATTGGTTTATCTGATAAGAACTATTTTTTTCTGTGTGCTAGTACTAAGACTTGAACACAACCCAAGTGCTGTCCCTCAGCCTTTTCCATTCAAGGCCTGGGCACTGTCCCTCAGCTTTTTCCACTCAAGACTGGCACTCTACCCCTTGAGCCACACCTCTACTTCTGGCTTTTTGTAGTTAATTGGCAATAAAGGTCTCACTGACCCTTTTCTGCCCTGGCTGGATTTAAATCATGATCCTCAGGTCTCAACCTATTGAATAAGATTATAGGGCTGAACCACTGACTTCTCGCTCTTTAAGAACAATATTTTGAGATGCATTTATAAACCCCAGAGCGAGGTTCTGTGTGCCCGAGGCTGCTGCTGTGCAGAGACCTCCAGGTGAAGCCGCTGTCACCATGTCTGATCAGGAGGCAAAACCTTCAACCGAGGACTTGGGGATAAGAAGGAGGGAGAATACATTAAACTCAAAGTCATTGGGCAGGATAGCAGTGAGATTCACTTCAAAGTGAAAATAACACATCTCAAGAAACTCAAAGAATCATACTGTCAAAGACAGGGAGTTCCAATGAATTCACTCAGGTTTCTCTTTGAAGGTCAGAGAATTGCTGATAATCATACTCCAAAAGAACTGGGAATGGAGGAAGAAGATATGATTGAAGTTTATCAGGAAAAAACAGAGGGTCATTCAGCAGTATAGATATTCTTTTTATTTTCTGTTTCTTTTGCCTCAATCCTTTTTTATTTTTAAAAATAGTTCTTTTGTAATGTGGTGTTCAAAATGGAACTGAATACTAGCACTCCCATCTCTTTAAAACATGTTAATTTGATTCTAGTGCTCATTATTGTCATTTGTTTTCATTGTGCTGATTTTTGGTGATCAAACCTCAGCTCCTTTCACATTGCCCTCTCATTTTAAAAAATGACGTACATGCACAGAGAGGCCACTTTTCAGGACTGCAATTTTAGGTAACATCGACCAATTCGAGTGTTCACAAAGACTTTCCAATTGGCCCTGAAGTTCTAGCATGTGATTGCTTCACTCCTGGACTATGACTTTCAGTGGTAGATGGAAGTTTTTCATAAAACTGAACTGCGGGGGAAATGACCTTTCCTTAACTTGAAGCTACTTTTTAAAGATCTGAGTATCACCGTTCAAAGCCAGCCCGGGCAGGAAAGTCCATGAGACTCTTATCTCCAATAAACCACTAGAAAACTGGAAGTGGTGCTGTGGCTCAAGCGGTAGAGTGCTTGCTTTGAGCTAAAGAGCTGAGGGATAGTGCCCAAGCCCAGAGTTCAAGCCTCACAACCGACAAAAAAGAAAAACTGATGAAAAATACTAAAATATAGAAAGAGCTATTATGTTCGTGTATTAGAAGAATATTAATATTTAACAATGTTAATATCATTTGAGTGGCCTTAATACTAGAGGTTATCTATAAATTCAGTATAGTAACTATCAAAATCCCAACAGCATTCTTTACAAAATTAGGACAAACTCTTAAAATTCATTTGGAAACATGAAGACCCTGAATAGCCAAATTCTGAGTGAAAAAGCAATACTAGACATATCACAATACCTGATTTCAAGTTATACTATAGAGCCATTTTAACAAAATCAACATAGTACTGGCATAAAATATGTAGACCAATGGAACAGAGTAAAGAACCTAAAATAAATCCATAGAGTGACAACCATCCCGGTATCTGACAAAGGCACCCAAAGCACATAGTGGAGAATGGTGGAGAAAAGATGGCCTCCTCAGCAAATGTTGCCCACCTGCGGAGGCCTGGGCCTGGGCCTTTTGTGCTGCACAAGTGATGTCAGGAAAATGAACCCTTAGATATGTATTTTAATGTTTTTTCTTTCATGCATGTGTTTCTAACGCATTTATAAGATTATCTCTTTGTTGCTTTG